CTATGGCCCTGGTCTAGATCCTATGTTGGTCCAACAAGAGAGTTCTGGTGACCTGGATCATTTAGCTCCAATCTTCTGGGCACTCTTTAGATCACACTAGAATCTGAAATTGGGCCAAATTGACTGGCCAGGGGTTACTGTGAGGCAAAAGAAGCAGGATACCAGGTAATGGCAAACGTGAAGCCTGGAATTTCCTAAATTGTTCCAGATAAATCTACAGGTCTTGGGCTGGAGAGATGGCTCAGAGGTTAAGAGCACTGACTGCTCTTCCAGAGGTCCTGAGTTTAGTTCCCAGCAACCACATGGTGGCTCACAGCCATCTGTAATGAGATCTGGTGCCCTCTTCTGGTGTGCGTGCAGGCACGCATGCTAACTAAATATTTATTTATTTATTATGTATACAATATTCTGTCTGTGTGTATGCCTGCAGGTCAGAAGAGGGCACCAGACCCCATTACAGATGGTTGTAAGCCACCATGTGGTTGCTGGGAATTGAACTCAGGACCTTTGGAAGAGCAGCCAATGCTCTTAACCTCTGAGCCAATCTCCAGCCCCCAATAAATATTTTTTTTTTAAATCTATAGGTCTCTTTTTAAATCATTACAAAGGATGTGGGTGAGGAGATTGTCCCTTCCTTGGGACGACTGAACACAGTGATGAGGCTGCATCACCTAGGTACATGGACCGGGAGAAAAATCGTAAATCGCTTTGAGTTGATTTGAGGAAGTCATTTCAGCACTCAGCAACACAGTATCATAGCACAAGGACAGGCTGAACACCCAGTTATCAGCTACTGTTGACTGACTTGTCGTGGGATATCTGTACACTGTGAAGATGTATCGCTGTGACTGGTGTAATAAAAACTGAACAGCCAATAGCTAGGCAGGGAGGATAGGTGGGACTTCCAGGGAGAGAGAGGAACAGGAGGAGGAATCGAGACACCAGACGCCAATGAAACACCAACGAGACACGGAGGGAGTCGGTCATACAAAATGAAAGAAAGGTAAAAAGTCACAGGTAAAATGTAGATAAATAGAAGGTTAATTTAAGTTACAAGAGCTAGTGGGACAAGCCTAAGCTAAGGCTGAGCTTTCACAATTAACAAGAAGTCTCCATGTTGTTATTTGGGAGATGGTGGCTGGATAGAAAAAGAATAGTTTCAGAGGCTTCTGGACAAAAAGCCCAAAACTGTTAGCTGCAAATGCCATGTTCCATGACACAAATTCATCTCAAGATGGCAAATTGTCAACCCGATGAGTTATTACCACAATCTGCCAATAGGGAGCTGAAGGAACCATTCATTTAATCTCTCTGGAGTGGGCAAAGGCAACGTAGCGTATATTATGGCTCCCTCATCACAAGGTCAACTTCTGGAAAATGCCACAAGTCTGGAGGGGTGGTAGCCTGTGAGCCATGAGCTTAGTGTACTTTGTCCACACTATGATAGTGGATATGTTGCCCTGTTTGTCCACACTATGATAGTGGATATGTTGCCCTGCTTGCTACAGTGCTAGATCAGGCAGAAATGGAAACCGTCCCAGAAGAGCAACCAGCAGTGAGTTGAGATCAGAAGTCTGATTCAAGACAGCCTCTTCAGAAAATGGGCATCGACTTCAGTGATATACTGTTCCTGGGTGACTTAAAACATTGCTGCCCATAGCCATAAGTTGTCTGAAGGGTTTTCTTTATTGACATTCTGAATATCACATGTGGGAAACTCAGCTACTACCCCTGCCACCTTTGCTTCTCACAGAAATCCACCTGCCTCTGCCTCCTAAGTAATGGGATTAAAGACTTGTGCCTCCATGCCTAGCTTTATTTTATGTTTTATGCATGCAAATACATGCACCATGTGTGTGTTTGATGCCCTCAGAGGTGAAAAGAGGGCGTGCGATCCCTTGGAACTGCAGTTATGGGTGGTTGTGAGACATCATTTGGGTTCTGGGAACAGAAACTGTGTCCTCTGCAAGAGCAATTCGTGCTCTTAAGCACTGAGCCATTTCTCTAACCCTTTTCTTCTTCTTCTTGGAAACCACCTGTTGCTCTTGCAAAGAGCCTGGAATTGTGCCGAGTACTGGCACTTCATCTGCAAACCCTGCCCGCCAGAAACGAGCACAAACCACAGCCGAGGCTGCAATCGGAACCGTATATCTCAGGCACCACACTTTTCTGATTTTTTTTTTAAAAAATTATATACATTGGTGTTTTGCCTGCAAGTATGTTTGTATGCAGGAATCAGATCCCCTGGAACTGGAGTTAAATAATTGAACCCGGGTCCTCTGGAAGAGCAGTCAGTGCTTTTAACCTCTGAGCCAACTCTCCAGCTCTAGGCACAGGCGCTTTTCACTAAGACAAAATACTCCTGCAGGGATGCTGGCTAGATTTGCGTCACCTTGACACAAACTACAGTCATTTGAGAGGAGGGAGCCTCAACTGAGAAAATGCTTCCGTTAGATCTCTGGGCCAGCCTATAAACATTTTCTTAAATAATGACTGATGGAGGAGGGCCCAGCCCATTGTGGGCGGTACCACCTCTGGACTAGTGGCCCTGGGTTTTATAAGAAAGTCAGTAAGCAACCCTCCTCTATGGCCTCAGTTCCTGCCTCCAGCTTCTTGCTCTCACTGCCTTTTTTTGGGGGGGGGGGGACTGGGGAGTTGAGACAGGGTTTCTCTGTGTAGTCTTAGTCTTGGCTGTTCTGGAACTCACTCTGTGGAACAGGCTGGCCTCAAAGTCTCAGAGATCTGCCTGCCTCTGGCTTCTGAGTGCTGGGATTAAAGGCGTGCGCCACCACCGCCTGGCACCCTCACTGCTTTTGATGATAAACTCTCTCTTTTTAAAAAAAAATATTTATTTATTTATTTATTATGTATACAGTATTCTGTCTGTGTGTATGCCTGCAGGCCAGAAGAGGGCATCAGACCTCATTAAAGATGGTTATGAGCCACCATGTAGTTGCTGGGAATTGAACTCAGGACCTTTGGAAGAGCAGGCAATGCTCTTAACCTCTGAGCCACCTGTCCAGCCCTTGATGATAAACTCTTAAACGGAATTTGAGTGTTTGAGTGAAATAAACCCTTTCCTCCCCACGTTGTGTTTGGCCACGGTGTTCCCAGCAATAGTAACCCTAAGACAGCAGGCTTTATATCAGTTCTAGACGTTGGTAGAAGATGGGCAGACAAGCGGATACCCGACAGACCTACGGCTAGGGGTGTTGAAATAGGCAGTTCCTCGCGTAGCCAACCAGGGTCCAAGAGTCCTAAAGAGGTTCTGTGCACTTGCAAAGGACCTTTTAGTGCGGCGATTCTTGTGTAGACGCCACTGTCCTGCCTGCCTCCTGGTCCACCTGTGTAAAAGGACAACCCCGAGGGAACTGGGTATTTCTCAGACCAAAGGGTCACTCTAGCCGCACCAGGCATTAAAGGAGACTATGAAAAGCTACGTCCAGGTACTGAAGTGAGACCAGGGAGTCGGCGGTACTCCTCAGCAGTTACGGCTGAGAGCCGTGCCTCCCGGTCAGGGTCAAATTGCAGCGGGCACGCCCCCTAGGAGTAAAGCGTAGCCCGGGAGCCTCGCGTGTGCGTCACTTCCGCTCTCACCGGCCCACACGTGAGAGGCGGGACCACAGAGGGTCTCATTTTGTTTGTGTCACTTCCGGTGAGCCGACCAGTGACCACGGCAACATGGCCTTGAACGGCACTGGTGAGGGCTCGGCTTGCTCGGACCGTGGCTGTTGGGTGCGGGAAGCAGTTTTCTCCGCCCTGACTCCTTCTCCTTGTTCCTCTTTCCCGCAGATGTGGACGATTTCGCCTGGGAGCCTCCGACTGAAGCTGAGACGAAGGTGCTCCAGGCGCGACGCGAGCGGCAGGATCGCATCTCTCGTCTCATGGGCGACTACCTGCTCCGCGGTTATCGCATGCTGGGCGACACGTGCGCGGACTGCGGGGTGAGGCGAGCGACAAGGACGAGGCCTCGGGCCAGGCCGCACGTCCTTTCCTCAGCTCTCTCTTCTGTGGACCCTGTCGCTCAGGCTCACCTGTGTCCGTGTGCTTTCTGGTTCCCAGACGATCCTCCTCCAAGATAAGCAGCGGAAAATCTACTGCGTGGCTTGTCAGGAGCTCGACTCAGACGTGGATAAAGATAATCCGGGTGAGGGGCCGAGTGTGCACTTTGGGGAAGGAATGTGGATCATGTGATAGTTATTCAGGAACAGGAGGCTTGGGAGGGGACACTGGAAGTGTTTTCGTGCGGTGGCATTAAAGTGCCTTCTCATTTAAGTCCTGGAGAGGAGGAAAACAATACCCCTTTGCTTCCGATGCTGTGGGCTTTGTACATGCCAGGCAAGCGCTTTCCCGCTGAAATACACACCCCAGCCTTGAGACACAGACAAAGGAGGCCAGGACAACTGTCAGGGAACTGGTACCCGAGGTGCGAACTCAGCGGTGCATTGCTTGCTTGGCATGTATAAGGAGAAAGAAGAGTAGGGACCAGATTGTCTTATGCAGAAAACACTAGAAACGCAGGAGGGTCAGTAAAGAGCAAGTGGCCTAGGGCAGAGGCGCGCCAGGCATCCTGACTAGTCCTCCTGTTTCCTTCTTTTAGCTCTGAACGCACAGGCGGCCCTCTCTCAAGTTCGGGAACACCAGCTCGCCTCTGCTACAGAGCCTGCCACGGGCTCTCGACCCACACCCCTGCCCCCGGTACCCCGCCCAGAGCATTGCGAGGGAGCTGCCGCAGGGCTCAAGGCGGCCCAGGGGCCTCCCCTTTCTGCTGCACCTCCAAATGCAGATGTGGTGGCCTCCACACAGACAGCCCTCCTGCAGAAGCTAACCTGGGCCTCGGCTGAGCTGGGCTCCAGTGCGTCCTTGGAGACTAGCATCCAGCTGTGTGGGCTTATCCGGGCTTGTGCTGAGGCCCTAGCCAGCCTGAAGCAGCTGCAGCACTGAAACCTCTCCTCCAACCCCTTGTGGCCCTGAGAAAAACCCTCTAGAAAAGCAGCCGTTCCTCTGTGTGGTTTGTTTCTTTCTTGGTTCTGAGTGTGCACGCAAGCCCCAGCTCTAGTCACGCTTTTTCTTTTGGCAACTCACCTTGTCGTGGCCTTTTCTACCTGAATGAGTTTTTTGCACTCAGGACAAGGGGTAAATGGTAGAGGGACAAGTGACCCCTTTTTCCAATGAAGTAACTTCAGCCTCCACAAAGGCTGGACCACTAGTACTGTCCCTGATCCAATACCCCTCCCTCCACCTTCTGGACCCGACTACCGTGTGCAGTTTCGGCCCCCTTGGTGCTTCCTCTCCTCCTCTGGGTATCTTGGTTCTATGATTCCATCTTAATGCTCACTGGAATGTTGGGGGGGGGGGGCCAGCGAAGCACTTTTAAGAGCTAGGCACAATCTTACTCCATTCTCCGGCCCCTGCATTCCTACACTTTTAGAATCGTTCCCTTGGGAAAGAAATTGTGTAGAAATGAGGCAGCAAAAAGAACAGCGGAAGGCTTTCCTGACCCTTTCGGTCTCATCCCTCCCGGTTCTCTGATGGATTGCTGGGCCCCACAGCCATCTCCCTGTTAAGAGAAGCCCCGCCCATGCAGAGGGGTGGAGCATAGGCGGAGTCCGAGGAGTCTGGGAAGGAACAAAGCGCGGCCTGCGGGCGGCGGCTGGGCTCCCTCCGGAGGCTGGGCCACCGGGAGCAAGTCCTGTGAGCCGCAACCCGCGTGAAACATTGGAGGACTCCGAGTGGCATCGCGGTCCGTGCCGGCCCGGCCATGAACGGTCTACCCTCAGCCGAGGCGCCGGGCGGCGCGGGTTGCACTCTGGCTGGGCTCCCACCGCTACCGCGGGGCCTCAGCGGCCTCCTTAACGCTAGTGGGGGCTCGTGGAGGGAGCTGGAGCGTGTCTATAGCCAGCGGAGCCGCATCCACGATGAGCTGAGCCGTGCCGCCCGCGCCCCGGACGGTCCCCGTCACGTTGCGGGCGCTGCCAACTCGGGCTCTGCAGCAGGCGTGCGTCGCCCAGTTAACTTGGACTCGGCACTGGCCGCGCTGCGCAAGGAGATGGTGAGTAGGTGGGCTCCCCGCCAGGGGTAACGTGCTTTGTGGAGAGGTCGGGGATAAGTCTGGGACCGGTGTCCTGGCTCTCATGCCCAGCAGGATGCGTCGGGTCACAGTGGTTTAGGATAGCTATGATTGTAACAATGTGTAGCAATTGTTGCATTTTTAAAACTTGCCTGATTTCATCCTGCTGGACAGTGTTACCCCATTGTATAAATGAGGGCCAGTGAGTGGCTTAAAGGTTTCACAGTTGGCAAGTGCCATCTGTTGCCCCCAGAACTTTCACCTAAGAAGGTGCAGGAAGATTGGACAGGGTTGTGGCTCATCGTGGGGACTTTGGTTTGGAGCTTGTGGGGGGCCTGGACCCCCAACTCCAGCCCACTGTCAGTTGTCCGCAGGTGGGGCTGCGGCAGCTGGATATGTCGCTGCTGTGCCAGCTGTGGGGCCTGTATGAGTCGATCCAGGACTACAAGCATCTGTGCCAAGACCTGAGCTTGTGCCAGGACCTGTCATCCTCCCTCCACTCGGACAGCTCCTACCCACCTGATGCCGGCCTGTCCGATGATGACGAGCCTCCTGATGCCAGCCTGCCCCCAGACCCTCCACCCCTCACCGTGCCCCAAACACACAATGCCCGTGACCAGTGGTTGCAGGATGCCTTCCAAATCAGCCTCTGAAAAGCTGGGGTGGATAGCTAAGCACCTAGACAAAAGGCTCAGAACTTGCCCTTCAGCAAGTCCTTAGTTGACAGTGCCTGCTCTTTTACTGGTACCACCTCACTTCACTTCAGGAGGG